GGGGAAAACGCAGGACAGAATTTCAAATGCGCAAGGACTCTAGACATCAACAACTTTATCAACAACTTTTTTGAGAATGAAGTATTGATTAAAGGAAAAGAAGGAATGATATACAGGAATTACAATTTACAAGTAACAGTACAAAAAACATTACTAAGGATTCTGTAAGGGAGGAGGTCCGTGGGGGGAGTGACACCATGAGTCACTTACTGGGTGACACCAACCCTAGTGATGCCACTGTCCATAATGGTAGTTTCTTAAAGGTTAGTTGCAATGTGGAACCCAAAATCACGTCAATGAATGTTTTGTAAACTGTTACATTAAAATCTATTCATCTATCTTGTCCTTATTATGGTTGATAAAGTAGAGGGTCTGCAAAAAAGAGGGATACCCTTAATGGGACATTTTGACATAATAGCCAAAAAAATGGACTCAAATATAGCAATGATCATGAAAAATGATTCGTTCTGTTATATGTAAGGTCACTATGAGTCAGAAATGACTCGACAGCAACTAACAACAACAACATCTTGCCCTTTGAATGAGTCTTTTACCCATGCGTAATTTTGAAATGTCATGCATTGCTCATTTGGAAAATATTGATTCAGTGATTATGCAGGTCTTCCAAATTCAATCTTTCATTATATAATATAAAAAAAATCTCATTCATTAATACATTAATATCATGTTAATAACTCATTATTAACTACCAATCTCATCAGAAAATTCTTGAAGTATTGGAAGAAGCTGTCAAGCTCACACTGGCAGACACACGTTTTCCAAAAGTTCTCATTTATCATTGGCAACAAATACCATCAGTTGTTTTCCTTGAAGTGACAGGCTCCCTTCATTCATATTTAAGAAAATGTCAGCCAGATACTCAAATCTCAGAAACCATAGTGTGTCAGTCATTCAAGTAAAAAAGGTGATCCACGGAAGAAGTGGTTTGTTCAGCTCACAACTCAACCAGTCACATAAGTGCTTGGCCTGAAGACAACAACTGTACTTCAGTTTGCACCGGAAGTGTTTTCTGTGTTCTTCCTGTTTTGACACAGAGACTATTAAAAAGGTGGTACTAAAAGGTCAAGATTTAACAAAATTAATAATTTTTAATGCTTTGTTTTTATTTAAAATGCATTTAAAAATTGAAATTGCATTTATCTTTGACCCAGTGAGTGCATGGTCATGAAGAATACAATAACTCCTAGTACAGTTTGGTGCCACTGCCTTGATTTGTGCTAAGGCGCCAGCAGTTTTGCTCACCATTGCTTTTGCACCATCAGTGCAAATGTCAGCACAGTGAAAAAGACAAATAATGTCTTGGTATTATTATGAAAATAGTTTCAACCTCATGGACCCCCCTCTCCAGGGTTCCGTGGACCACTCTTTGAGAATTATTGTCCTAGCACTTGGAATCAGAGGGCAGGGCTACTATTAGGAGTGGAAAAGTTTTGAACAGAGAAGCAGCTAGGAGTTGTGCTGCTGGGGAAGCAGCATAAAATGTGCCCTCAAATCAACTTTGTAATTCACAATATGACTCGAGGATGAGTTTTTTGCTTTTAAAAGAACCTCAATGATTTATCGGGAATGATAAATACATTTATTTAGTTTAACATAGATAACCACCACCACACTAAATAGAGCAAAGCACAAATTTTCTCAATCAAAAAAATTCCAATTAGAATCAGTTGTTTCTTTAAACCCACGTGTAAGCTCTAGGGCTCCCTAAAGGGATGGGTGTGATTAACAAGGCTTATCACCCATTCCTTCGTCTATTGGTTTATGGTGCTGAGAATGTAGTGTTGAACAGACAGACAAGGTCCTTGCTCTCTGGGTACTCACAGTTGAGTGGGGAGAGTTAAACAGTCACACAAATAGGAATATGATTACAACCGCGCTAAGATTTATGAGGTACCACAGGGAGGTTAGAGATGGGGATCTGACTGTGATATGGGGACCTGCCTTGCCCAGAGGTCAGTGAAGACCTCCTGAAGAAGTAAAATTTAGCTGAGATCTGAAGCATGAGTTGGAGTTGGCCAGGTGAAGGTGGGGTGTATGTAGGGAAGACCATCAAGGCAGTGGGATGAGTATGTGTGGAGGCTCTGAGGTAGGAAAGGTCTGGGCAGGTTTTAAGACTTACTCATGAAGTTCTTTGCTGCCAGAGCCCAGTGGGAGGAGCCACAAAATGAGGGTGGAGTGGCAGCTGGGTTTAGGGCAAGGGCCACCATGGCCTTCTTTCAGTTCTTGGAGCCTAACAAACTCTTTCTTGCCTTGGGCCTGGACCCATGCAAGTCCCTCTGCCTGGAATGTTCTTCTTGCTGCTCTTCCTTCTGACCTCATCTGAAAGGTCACCTTGTTTCTACGCAGATTCCCTTCTTATTCTCCATATCAGCACCTTATTTTCCTTTTATAGCAACTATGAAAATGATATTATTTTTTGTTTGTTTAAATTGTTTTTGCCTGTCTCTGCCAGGGGACTGTAAGTTCCCTGAGGGCACGGCCTCATCTGCTCACTCTGTGTCTCCTGTGCTTAGAGTGTGCCTGACGTACAGTGGGTGCTCAGTAAATATGCGCTGGATGAATGTGTGAATAAACGAATGAACATAGAGCTGGATTTGAGATCCTGGCTCCATCCCTTAACAGCTGCGAGACCTTGGACAAGTCATATCACCACCCTCTACTTCATCTTCCTATTCTGTAAAATGAGGATTATACTTCCTATCTCAAAGGGTTTTTGGTAGACTTAAATGAGGTAGTGCATGTAGAGGCACCTGGCAGGGTGCCTGGCTCCAAAAGAGATGCTCCTAAAGTGTTAATTTTCTTCCTTGCTTCCCATTCTCAATTCTGTGATCTTGTCACTGCATAATGCTGTATGATGATCCTCAGGCCTCTCTTATCCCCAGCTAAGTCTCTTGCTCTTCCCCCAGTAGCTGCTTCCCTGAGTCATGCTCACAGCAACACAAACATCAGCAGGGCTTCCAGGCTCATGTGATGGCAACCGTAGTGGAAGGAACAAAAGTAGAGGGGAAGGAGCAACTCTTCAGAGGGACAGTGGAGAGTGGGGAGGAACTGTTGAAAATGAACCAGACTCTGGGTACTGGAATTATGGCTAGTGTCTTAGTCATCTAGTGCTGCTGTAACAGAAACACCACAAATGGATGGCTTTACAAAGAGAAGTTTATTCTCTCACAGTCCAGGAGGCTACAAGTCCAAATTCAGGGCGTCAGCGCCAGGGGAACGCTTTCTCCATTGGCTCTGGAGGAAGGTCCGTGTCGTCAATCTTCTTTTGGTCTGGGAGGTTCTCTGCACAGGTCCAAAGGACACGCTCTGCTCCCGGCACTGCTTTCTTGGTGGTATGAGGTTCCCATGTGTCTCTGCTCACTTCTCTCTTTTATAGCTCAAAAGAGATTGCATTAAGACACTATCTAATCTTGTCAACCTCATTAGTATAACCTCATCACGGTGATAGAATTTACAACACATAAGGAGATCACATATAATCTCATCATAGTGATAGAGTTTACAACACGTAAGGAAATCACATCAGATTACACAATCATACAATACTGGGAATCATGACCTAGCCAAGTTGCTACACACTTTTTTGGGGGACACAATTCAACCCATGACAGCTAGCTTTCATTTTTAATATACTTTAAGAATTTTTTTATTTTGACATAATTTTAGGGCTTCAGAAACATTGCAAAAACAGTTCAAAGAGTTCATGTATGCCCTTCACCCAAATTTCCCTAATGTTAACAACTTACAGAGCCATAATACAATGATAAAAACCAGGAAATTAACATTGATTCAATATCATTAATTGAATTATAGCCCTGATTTGATTTTCACCAGTTTTCCCCCTAATGTCTTTTTTCTGTTCCAGGATCCAATCCAGCATCCCACATTGCACTTAGTGTCATAGGTCTCTTTAGTTTCCTCTAATCTATGATACTTCCTGAGTCTTTCCTTGTCTTTCATGACCTTGATGCTTTTGATTAGTACTGGTCAGTTACTTTATAGAACGTCTCACAATTTGGTCTTGTCTGATGTTTTCTCATGATTAAGTGGAGGTTATGCATTTTTTGCAAGAATACCACAGATGTGATGTCATGTCCTTCTTATTACTTCATATCAGCAATACATAATGTTGATAGGACTTTATAATGGTGATGCTAATCTTGATCACTTAGTTAAAGTATTGTCTACTGAGTTTTCTCTTTGGATACTTTTATTTTTAAGTTGTATTTAAAATTTTTTAAATTATTAAAGTAACAAATGTACCTAAAAATTCAAACAAACAAAAGTATAAAGTAAATCAACTTCCCACCAAGCCCACCTCACCTTCCCAGAGGTTACTTACCAACATCAACTCTTCAAGGTCTATCCTTATAGATTTTTTTATATTCATATATACATATATAATGGAGTAATACTAAACGTTTTCTACAATTTTGTTTTGTTTTTACTCAATAATATTATCCAGGGACAGCTTTCCATGTCAGACCAATCAGCTCTAACGCAATCTATTCTGTGGGTGACACTAATATCGTTCTTCTCTGTACTTTCCAGATTTTTTATGCACATATAAGTTATTTTTAATACAGAATATTTTATCATCAAAAATTTACTCCAAGTTCAATCAATAGAGACAAACCCAAATTTTATCAGAAAAATTAAATCTTCTAAAACTTTAAGTCAAAATAAGCCAAAGAATAAAATATTGTATTTTAAAATGGAATAAGAGAAAAGAAACTGAACTACCATTGATTTCATTGAATCTCAGATGCTGAGATATAATCTCAGATTGTAAAAACACACCATTATTTTATGTAGAAAGAAAAAAAAGGCTGCTGATTAACTGGAAGACGCCATCAATTTTAAGGCATGTCTTGATTTTAGAGTTTTAAAAATGTGTAAAATGGGAATCTTAGAAGTGATGGATGACTGTAGTTCCTTCTTCACCTTTCGTTAACTAGAATCCTTCTATGATCTCCCAGGCACAGGCGGGAACACTTGATCAGCTACCACTTGCAGCTCAGAGTAATGGAGCCAAATGATCCCTCCCGTGTGGACTCTGAGTTCCGATACACCCTCTTCCCGATCTTTTACAGCATCATCTTTGTGCTGGGTGTCATCGCCAATGGCTACGTGCTGTGGGTCTTTGCCCACCTGTACCCTTCCAAGAAACTCAATGAGATAAAGATCTTCATGGTGAACCTCACCGTGGCTGATCTGCTCTTCTTGGTCACCCTGCCCTTGTGGATCATCTACTACTACAACCAGGGCAACTGGACTCTTCCCAGCTTCCTGTGTAACTTGGCTGGCTGCCTCTTCTTCATCAACACTTACTGCTCCGTGGCCTTCCTGGGTGTCATCACTTACAACCGCTTCCAGGCAGTGACACGACCCATCAAAACAGCTCAGGCCACCACCCGTAAGCGTGGCATCATTTTGTCCCTGATCATCTGGGTGACCATTCTGGCCGCTGCATCCTACTACCTTACCATGGACTCCACCAACACAGTGTCCAACAAAACTGGCAACTTCACCCGCTGCTTTGAGCATTATGAGGAGCGCAGTGTGCCAGTCCTCATCATCCACATCTTCATTGTGTGCAGCTTTTTCCTTGTTTTCCTCATCATCCTCTTTTGCAACCTGGTCATCATCCGCACGCTGCTCATACAGGCTGAGCAGGTACAGCGCAATGCTGAAGTCAAGCACCGGGCACTTTGGATGGTCTGCACAGTCTTGGCTGTGTTCATCATCTGCTTTGTGCCCCACCACGTGGTACAGCTGCCCTGGACCCTGGCTGAACTGCGCTTCCAGAACAACAGTTCCCACCAGGCTATTAATGATGCACATCAGATCACCCTTTGCCTCCTTAGTACCAATTGTGTTTTAGACCCCATCATCTACTGCTTCCTTACCAAGAAGTTCCGAAAGCACATCACTGAGAAATTGTACAGCATGCGCAGCAGCCAGAAATGCTCCCGGGCCACCATAGACACTGGCACCGAAGTAGTCATGCCACTCAGCCAGATGACCGTCAATTGCCTCAAAAATTAGTCCCTGATTACTAGGGCAGCCCCAAAGGACTTTTCTTCATGAGTATCAAGGACTGACCTGGGGGAAGAAGAGCTATCTGTTGTGCTCTGGGCTGTGGTTTGTGCCTTTCCTACCTGGGTGATGGTGGCCTGTTAGGTATGGAGGCAACCTCACCAAGGCAGAGATGATGGCAGAGCAAAACTGAGGACATCTAGGCCAGAGCACCACAAGGCCCAGAGTCTTCCACGGAAGCACGCACTTAGGCTGGGAAGTGCTTGCATGTAGTGAAGCCTCCAGAGTGGAAAGAGCTGGTCTAGTCTCCTTTCCTCTCTTTCTGGGAGGACCCTCCTAACTTAGTGTCTTAGTTATCTAGTGCTGCTATACCTGAAGTACCGCAAGTGGATGGCTTTCATAAACAGAAATTTATTTTCTCACAGTTTAGGAGGCTAGAAGTCTGAATTCAGGGTGCTGGCTCTGGGGGAAGGCTTTCTCTCTCTATCAGCTCTGGAGGAAGGTCCTTGTCTCTTCTGAGCTTCTGTTCCTGGGCAATCTTCATGCGGCTTAGCATCTCCCTTCCTCCATCTCTGTTTCTCTCACTTGCTTATTTAATCTCTTTTATATCTCAAAAGAGATTGATTTAAGACATACCCTAAGCTAATCCTGTCTCATTAACATAACAAAGACAACCCATTCCCAAATGGGATTATAACAGGCATAGAAATTAGAATTTACAAAATATATTTTTGGGGGACACAATTCAATCCATAACACCTAGTTTTAGGAGGTGAGAGGAGCAGTTACAGTCCCCAGGGGCCGGTTAGGCACTTTGAATTTGAGGTACAGAAGGGAGGTGTCAGCTTCTCTTGAGGATTTTTAGATGCCTGTTTGTGATTTTTGGTAAATACATGCAAATGAGCCTCTTGTGCCCTGAGCTTTGTACCTCGGTGTGAACCTGGTGACCTCAGACCCCGGGGCTTAGAGGAGCCTTTCCTGGCTTCCATAGCCCCATGGTCCTTCTGAGGAATTGTCTTACCTTCCAGCCAGTGTCCCCATGTAGTTGGGACCCTTGTCTCCTGTCTACCAGCAAACACTGGATTGCTGTTTTTGATAAATGCCTCCCAGTGGCCAATGTCCTGCTAGAGTCTGGAATGGTAGCTATGGGCTAGCCTTAGTTGATGGTGACCGAGTGGATAGTGCCTTATAGTCAAGCTTTGAAGTCACACAGCCCCAGGTTCAAGCCTTGACTTTATCACTTTCTGTTGAGGGATTGTGAGCTGAATTTCCTACCTCTTAGGGTTGTTACTTGTGACATAAAAGCTAGGGCTGTTATGAGCAGCAAATGCTGAGGCAGACACTGCTTGGTTAGGATGACTGCTCATCCCAGAGGCTCCCTTTTTCTGAGAATTTGACTCCCTCCTTGCAGCCAATCCCTCAATTCTCCATTAGGACTTGAATGGACAAGAGGTGAGCATCTGGCCTGAGTTGGGCCAATCAGGTTCTTTCTCTCAGGAATAGGCAGCAAGATTCAGGGCTGCTGTTTTAGGCTCTGCAGGCCACTTACCCGAACCCGTATAAACTCTGGAGCTGTGAGTGTCTATGTGCATGTTTGGCCATGTCTGTGATTGGGTGGGGGTGGCTACCTGCATGAATGTAGTGGAAAAAATGGCTCAGCTCAGAGAGAAGATGAAGATGCATGGTACAGAGAGAAGAGAGATCATAGGAGCCTGGACTAGAGAAGGGACTGTGCTACCGGAGCCTGCTGGCCCTCCTCCTCAGGCCCAGCCCTTCTCGAGGCTCATCCGCGTGCCCTCCTTTGGGTCCTCTGAGATTCCCTTGTCAGGATACATTCTCTTAGTTTGCCTAAGCTGATTTGAGTGGGTATCTACTACTTGCAACCAAAAGACCTCTGAATGAGGTAAGTGTTTATGTGCTAAAACACATTGTTTCCTAAATTTCAGCCAGTCGTGTACCCATATCCATGTACCCCCTATTTGTTTACTTAATAAATATTTTAATTTAAATCGAGTCACATTTTTAAATGTAAATTTATTTAAAAAGGAAATTTTGTAACATAATTGTCAATGAAAACAAATGCCACCTGCCACTAATAGAAAGTAAATGGAAACAGAAGTACATAACTGTTAAAATAAAAATGTTACTCCACGTCTCATAGAAAATCACCTCATGTGCCCCCGGGGACTCATGCAGCACACTTTAGGAAACACTACTGGAATGTATATAAACTGCACAGTGTCTACGTTCAGTACGTGCTCAGTAAAAAGTAACTCTGACAGTTTCAAAATGGTGACTTTTGATTGTCCCCTTGTCTCTCCCAGAATGTTGCCCCAACACACAGGCCAGGGTCTCACTCTTCCCCAGGGCTCAGGAGGGTGGGGGGAGTATTTTAGGCTATAGCCCATTCTACAGCCCTGCTGAACTCACCATCCTGAATACCCTGAGTGGCATGAATGGTTAAGCTCTGGGCCACTAACTGAAAGGTTGGTGGTCCAAATCCACCCAGAGCTGCATCAGAAGAAAGGCTTGGCAATCTACTGAAAGGTCACAGCCATAAAAACCCTGTGGAGCACAGTTCTACTCTGAAACATATGAAGTTGCCAAGAGTCAGAATCAACTCAGTGGCAACAGTTTTTGTTTTTGTTTTTTTACTCCCCCTGTAACCGCTGCTTTGTTGTGACCTTCTCAGATGCCTTTCTCTTCTTTTTGATCTAGCCCAGAATACCTCCTACAGGCAGCCTTCCTGGATTCCTCCAGGCAGGGTTATTGGCTCCTCCTAGCAGCAGTTTAGTGCCGGGAAGATTGAACTTTTTTTTACACCTTAATTACTACGGTTATTGAGGCTTATTCATTTCATTGTCTCTGTTCCCCATCCTGGGGGTCGGAACTGAGGTGTAAGCATCTATGTATCCATAGTTTCTCACAGACAGCCTGAAATTGTGATCTGTTTGCCTCCAAAGCTTACTACTTCCCCAGGGTGTAGCATAAACAGACATCTTGACATATAAGAAAATTACTTGGAAAGAGTTTAAGGAGACTCTTTAGGGACAGATGGGGAAGAAATTTAATAATGCTCTTCTTGTTGTAGGGGAAAACCATCACAAAGCCTAGTAAAGCAAAAAGAAAGTTTTATTCGGCATATTTCAAAAGGGCAAAAGTGGGAGACGGACAACCATGCTGCTAGAGCCATGTCTGCCCGAGTCCAAAGAACATTACAGAATAGGCAAGAATGGGAAAACAGACAAGCATGCTGCCACAGCCATGTCTGCCTGAGTCCAAAGAACAATTACAGAGTCATCAGTATATATTAACATTAAAAACGGGCAAAACCATTGAAAGCTTAGCATTTTCAGATTGGCTAGAAACTGTGATCCTGTGTTTTGAATTGTCTTAACCGTCATTGGTACGGGTTTCAGTAAGGAGAGTCAGGAGGGTCTTCATTGGTCCAACAAATTTCTATTCACTAAATGCTAATAGCAAAAGATAAGAGTGGAAAGTCTTCCGTCTTCTGTTTGATCAGCTATACATGAAAGTTTTCCCTAAAAGATATTTTCCAAGATTGTCTTAGCTATTGTCTTTATAACTTAGGGCCCAGTTGATGTGTCCTTGTGAGTCCGTGTGAGCCCAGCTCCAGATGGGTCACATTCTCTATACTCAAGGACAAGGAATAATAACTCCAATATTATTTCCTAAATCATTCTAAAGTTCTTTCTCCATATTTTAAAGGAAGATATAGGGGATTTTCAGAGGATCAAAACAGTTTGGAGCGGGGAGGGCCCAACCACTTCATCTTACAAAGGCAACATGGAGCCCAAAGAGGCTAAGTGATCACAGAAGTTACACAGTGAATCAGTTTTCAGTGGTGTAACTGCAGTGAAAGCGGGACTGCCTGCTCCCCACGCCTCTCCATTCTTGAAATGGTGGCAAGGATTCAGGGAAAAGCTGAGTCTTTCCAAGAAACCTCCTGTGCTTGCACTTCAGGGAGGCCTCGATTTGCATTTCCCTCAGGGCTCAGCCTTTGGCCTCAGGGAACTACCAGTGATCTTATCTGGAGAACATTGACTCATGCAAGACCAGGCCCTTTGCCACAATGAGATGAGTCACAGACGTAAGAATGGTAAGTGTGTGTCACGGTTGATTAGAACTGAGTATGGTTATGCCTGTTTTTACTCATCTGTGTTATATCTGTGCTTGAGAGCTAAGGCCATGGACAGATATAATAAAACTCTCTTCGAAAGCACTGTTTTTTTTTTTTTTTTCAGACTTGGTATTTCTGTAGAACCAATCATATTTCTCTTGACTTCCAACAAACCAACCACCCACCCATCTACCCACCCGTCCGTCTGTCCATCCATCCATCCATCCATCCATCCATCCATCCATCCATCCATCCATCCATCCGGGTATCCAACAAACACTTTTGAGTGACTTTTCTGACCCAGTAATTGTGCTAAGCACAGTTTTTATGTGTTATCTCACTGAAACCTCACACCCTCCATGAAAGGTAGGTGATATTATCCCCACAGAAATGAATTAATAAGGACAAGAGCTGACTGAATAAGACCTGGTGACTACCTCCCAGGTAGTTGGTACAGGAGGAAAGGGGACCTGCTTTCTGTTGAGCCCTTATTTGCTTGCCACTTTCACAACTCTTATTAAGTCCTCACAACTACCCTACAGAATGGATATTTTAACGCCCATTTTACAGATGGGAAAATTGAGGCTCAGAGGATTCAGTCATTTGTAAAGGTAGTAAAGAGCTAGTAAATGGCAGGACAATAGCCAAACCCAGCTCTGCCTTAGTAACTATGGGTTCCTTCCCTTCCCTCCTCCCCCATGTGACTATACCCTCATCCACTCCCCTGTAGGCACTGTCCTATCTCTGGTGTGTGCAGCTGGCGGGGCTTCTGCCTTGCTCTGTTTCTAGCTTCCTCTTCTAGGCCTCTTGAGCTCTCTGTGCTGGCTGAAGTTCCAACAGCAATGACTCTTTTTCAGCTTAGGTTCCTGAGGTCAGCTGGGAAGGGCACTCCTGAGGGTGGATGATGTCTGTTAACAGTGTTTTAAGAAACCTCAGAAGTACATTGTCCTTGGAGCTAGAAGGTGCTCTTGGTGGTTACCTGGCTCTCAATACCTCTGTAAGCAGAGAGTCAGGAATGACTACTCGCCATTGGCTGACTGCTTACTGTGTCCCAGAGACTGTGAGGGAAAGTTTACATCATTTACTCCTCCCAAGCACCTATGGGTGGAACTGGCTCTTCCCTCTGCCTGAATTGCTCTTTCCCCAGATACCTGTATGGCTCACTCCCTCAACTCCTTCAAGGCTTTGCTCAAATGTCCGCTTCTTAGTGAGCCCTGTCCTGACCAACCCCCTTTTTTAATTTCTTTTTTTTGTATACAATTTTATTTATTTTGCTGTTGTTGTTGAGA